AGCCAGATTCAAAATGTTACATAATGTATGATTCCACTTATACAGCATTCTCAAAAAGAAAAACCTAAACTGAGAGAGAATAGACCAGTGTTTGGCAGGGGCTAGAGTCAGAGAATGTGTGATTCAAAGGAGCAACACAAGCGAGTTTTCTGAGTTGATGAAACTGTTTCCAATCCCGATTATGGTGGAGGTTAGGTGAACCTATACATGTGGTAAAATTTATTAAACTGGTCACCAGAAAGGAACAAAGTTTACTATATGATAATTTTTAAGTAAAAACATTTTTAAAGATTCTCATTAAAATTACAGTAGAGTTTCAATGAAAATCAACAAATACATATTTATTATAACATCCAGCACAATCAAAGTACTTTTATACAAAAGTAAAAAGGTAACGTCTATGGCTTTAAAGACACTTTAGAAAAAACCTGTCGCTGACATCTAACTAATCAATACAAATCAGCCTCTGGAAAGAGAAGGATGCAGGTCCAGGAAGGACAGCTGGAAGACAGTCTAGAAGAATTGTGTCACAGCAGGGATGGGGGTCCCACGGGCTGGAGTGGGACATGGCCTGCATCCAGGAATGTACTGGGAAATGCATCCTAAGTGAAGCAAGGGCAGGGTCCTGTTCTGCAGCAGAAGAACATTTATCCTGATCTGAGAAACTAAGCACAAGCTTAAATAAGTCCCATTTAGCCTCTAATTTCAATTTAATAACATGGGAAGTTCTAGAACAAAGTAGAATTCAGAAGTTTGATAAATGAAATACATTTAATTCATAATCATACACAAAAAAGCAGGGAATTAGCAGGAAAAAAAAAAAAGCAAACAGCTAATGGAAAGTAAAAATAAGCTAACATGTATTAGGCAAAGCCTCTGGCCTACAACTGTACATTATCCTATCCCATCTTTACAAACGGCTTTGCAAGGAGGCAGGCCTTTGTCATCTCCAGCTTACTAAGGTAGAAACAGCAGCTCACAGAGTAGGCCCTGGCCAGGAACACAGACTCAGGTGACAAAACAAGTGTTGGCTTGAAATGTCAGACTCTGCCCTACACGTAGCCCAGGGGCCAAATCCAGCCCACAGACTGTTTGTGTATGGTCCAAAAGCAAAGAAAGGATTTTACATTTTTAAATGACTGAAAAATAATCAGAAGAAAAATAATATTTCATGACTTGTAAACATTGTGAACTTCACCTTTTGGTGTCCATAAATAAAGTTTTATTGGTATACAGCCACGCCCTTGGTTTAATATTGTCTGAAGCTACTTTGGCACTACAACTATAACAGGCTTCATGGTTATAAGTGAGACCATATAGTCCACAAAGCCTAAAATATTTACTATGCAGCCTTTTACAGAAAGTTTGCATGCTAAAAATTTTATAAATAAAAGAAGAAAGCAAAAACAATTTTTTTTATACAAGCCATCACCCAGGCCAGAGTACAATGATGTCATTATAGCTCACTGCAGCCTCAAACTCCTAGGCTCAAGTGATCCTCCTGCCTCAGCCTCCCTCCTGAGTAGTTGGGACTACAGGTACACGCCACCATGCTTGTTAATTTTTTCTATTTTTTTATAGAGACAGGGTCTCCTATGTTGCCCAAACTGGTCCTGAACTCCTGGCCTCAAGCAATCCTCCTACCTCGGCTTCCCAAAGTGTTAGAACTACAGGCATAAGCCACAGCACCCAACCCAAAATTCTTAATTTTAAACTCAATACACTGGAACACTGGTCATATAATCTCCTCTTCAGGATGGAAAGCTTCTTCAATAGTCTCTAGGAAGCAGACAAGGAGCATCGCTAAGTACACCTCAAGTTTTATTCTCAGGAGCATAAATTAGAACACCTTACAACAAAATGCAGGATGAAGTCACTGGAGGCCATGAAAACAACCAAGAATAATTAGCACCACCAGCTGAAAGACAGCATGCACATTAGCTTCCGTGTTTGCCTGCTCTCCTTTTCACCACTGCAGGGTTCCAAGTTAACAGACAAAAAACAACACAAACCGCCCAAGCACACTGCAAATTATGGCACACCTGGGAGAAGGGAAGGCCAGGGCAGGCAGCAATATCCTGAAGGGCTGCTGGGGGCAGAAGCAGGGGAGCAGATTCTGGATATTAATAAGAAATCTTAACTTGAAAAAGTAAAAGACTATAATCCATCCCAATCTGGGGCTGGTCTTTTGTGGTACATGACCCCAAAGGGGGACACAAACACTTACTACCTGGGAGGGAGTTTTCTTGTCATATCAGAGGAGATTCTAAATGTGATTGTAAATGAAAATAAGGATAGTTTATCCCAGGGGAAAGTGCAAATTATCAGAAGCCACTATTTCTCAGAAACAAACTATGAAGAAATCCACCTTGCCGGGCGCGGTGGCTCACGCCTATAATCCTAGCACTCTGGGAGGCCGAGGCGGGCGGATTGCTCAAGGTCAGGAGTTCAAAACCAGCCTTAGCGAGACCCCGTCTCTACCATAAAAATAGAAAGATCCATTTTCTGCAGGCAAATAAAAAAAAAAAATAGAAAGAAATTAATTGGCCAACTAATATATATAATATAAAAATCAGCCGGGCATGGTGGCTCGTGCCTGTAGTCCCAGCTACTCGGGAGGCTGAGGCAGGAGGACTGCTTGAGCCCAGGAGTTTGAGGTTGCTGTGAGCTAGGCTGACGCCATGGAACTCACTCTAGCCTAGGCAAGAAAGCGAGACTCTGTCTCAAAAAAAAAAAAAGAAATCCACCTTGACAACAGTAAGAACTCAATGTGAAAGAAAGCAATCAAACAAACTAAAAGAAAACTTCAAAGAAATGAAAACTGTGGCTTTCAAGAACATCTACTCTAAACTGTATTTTCCTCACAGTTAGCTACAATACAACTGACATCAAAATATATATATCTTAAAAATTGAATTTGACATATATAAATCTGTAAATATTTTCTGGTAATAAAAAGCACACATGCCACAATAAAAATAAAAACTTTTACTTAATGCCCAAAAATGTTCCCCCAAATCCTATTCAGTTGGGATCTACATAAAGAACAATTTTTCATGCTTTGCTTTGTTAATCACATGATTTTTGAAAGAACAAAAGACAAAAAAAGTCATCAAATGTAATAAATAAAAAATATACTTTGGGTTTTTCCATGTAATTAGCTTTTCTTAGAGCATCTTTTAGAGCTATTGTTTCATGGAGAAAACACTTTGGGAAATATTGTTTTAATTTATTATACTAGACGGCTAAAAGAAAGTATAAAACTTTTTAAAATATATAGAATAAACTACTGATACATGCAAAAAAAAAGGAAAATCAAACCATTATGCAGAGTGAAAGAAGCCAGACATAAAAGAGCACACATGACTGCATGATTCCATTCACATGAAGTTCTAGAACAATCAAAACTAATCAGTGGTGGAGAAAGATCAGACCAGTGATTGTCTCTGGACAGTAAGGGCAGCCACGGGCCCAGAAAGGCCACAAGAGAATAATATTAAAGGTTTAGGTTGGACAGCTTCCCTTTCTCAACACTTACGGGATGGTAAACTTAAAATATATGCATTGCAGCCGGGCGCAGTGGCTCATGCCTGTAATCCCAGCACTCTGGGAGGTCGAGGTGGAAGGATTGCTCAAGGTCAGGAGTTCGAAACCAGCCTGAGTGAGACCCTATCTCTACTAAAAATAGAAAGAAATTAATTGGCCAACTAAAAATATATATACAAAAAATTAGCCGGGCATGGTGGTACATGCCTGTAGTCCCAGCTACTCAGGAGGCTGAGGCAGTAGGATCACTTGAGCCCAGGAGATTGAGGTTGCTGTGAGCTAGGCTGATGACACGGCACTCACTCTACCCTGGGCAACAAAGTGAGACTCTGTCTCAAAAATATATATGCATTGCTTCATACATAATTTTACATGAAAGACAAAAAACTAAACCAAAATTAATGATATGCATGAAACACCAAAGAGAGCCAGGTGAGACACATGCATGGATGGACAGATGGAAGGACATGGAACCAGGAGTCTGGGATAAATGAGGGAGGCCAAAGACTGGCAACAGGACCGGGGTGGGTGTACAGGGGTTCACTATCTACCAATTCAGTTATTTAACAAAATAACTGTGTGTGTGTGTGGAAATTTCCAAATAAATATCAAAAAAACAGGAATAATTGCTAGCTATTGTAACTGAAAAGATACACTAATACTTTTTCCCACATATTTGTAAGTGGACACTATCTCAATTTCTTCCACAAAGAGAATTAGAAATACTTTCTAAAGTAGCTTTATCCATCTTGAGGACTTTTAAGTAGGGGGAGCAACAAACTTCAACAATGAGTCTCGACCCAGGCTCTGCAGAGCCAAGTCTAGGGTGGTATACAGGCATCTATTTCTTTTTAATTCAGTGGTAATTCTGATACATAACCAAAGTCAAGAACAACCAAATGATAGAGTCTTACTAAGTTTTCATAACCGCAGACCTAAGTAAGATTGCTCACTGGCATTTCCTTGTGGACCAAAGGCTTCTAAAAAGTGTTTTATACACTTCCAAAGGGAGAGTCATACAGGAAAAATTTCAGGAATAATTATTTTCACTCAATCTCTTAATAACCAATATTTATAGTTAGCCAAAGCAAGACCTATTCAAAACTTAAAGAAAGAAATAACACCCAGTTCCTATAAGCCACAAACTGAATGCTAGAAAAGAACACTACAAATACAGACAGGTGGTTTTACAACAAAACTGCCTTCAATTCACATAAAACAATGAAATCCAAGTAGTTTATAATATTAACTATCATTTTAGAAAACAATCATCAAAGTGAAAAATAAAACTTCAAAGAGTTATGTTCAAAAGCTCCTGTTCCTATAGCACATTAAAAATTTTCTATATATCAGACAACTGACTTGTTTGGAAAAAAAAAAAAAAAAAAATTTTCTATATAATACAATTTATAATGGTGTTTACAAAATGAAAAATACTAGTTAAAGGCCCTTACCTTTTCTAGGAGGGAGTTCTCCATTCTGAGTTAATTCTGTCCCAGTATATACAATTTCTCCATCTTTAACCATTTCATTCCACAGACCACAGAGCCCATCTCTTGTGAATGCAAGCTGCCAACGATAAACAAGAAACTTACAGAGTGCTCATACTCAAAGTTCAATTCTTAAAGAACGATACAGGGAAAAACATCTCATTTACCCTTATTTATTCAACCATTCAATAATAAATCAATGATTTCTTTATTCAATAATAAATTTAATGAAAATTATCCAATTGTAGTTAAGTGAAATAGGCACAATGCATAAGAGTATACATATGCTAACTTTTGTGTGAGATACAAGAAAAAGGGACACATACATGTGCGTGTGTGTAATCTGAAAAGATAAACCAAAAGCAATTAACAATGATTACCTGTGGGGAGATGGGGAGGGGACATGGTAAAGGCAGCAGGGACCAGTGAAGGCAAGATGGTGAGTATATTTTATAGAACTTTACTTTTAAAACATATAAATGCTTTCATCTTCAGAAATTAAAATTAATTCACAAAAAAGTAAAACCTACAAATGGTAACAAGCAAATTAACCCAAGTATATAAAACGAAATGTATTTTCCAACTACTCAGGAGACTGAGACAGGAGAATGACTTGAGCCCAGGAGTTTGAGCATGGCCTGGGCAACATAGCAAAATCCGTTTAAAAAAAAAATTTTTCTATTTCAAGAAACTTCGGAACTATACATCAATAGTGGAACACATTCTAAGGGAAAAAATTCTTAAACTTTATTCATTGGTCTTATCGATAATCCTAATATTGATATTATTATTTTAAAACTATTTCATGTATGCTATATAATAAAGCAATGTTAATATTACTAGAAACTAAGGTTTAAAATGTAAAAGATAAAAATCAAAGAAATTTTTTAAAACAATTTGAATTAGAAATCTCACTATGAACTTTATTTTTGAATATATTTGCTTGCTCTGTCTCTGGACAGGACCTAGAATCAATGGCACTCTGACAGCAAGTAGCCAGATACTGGTATCTAAGCAGCATTTCCCACTAAAGGAAACCAGGGCTCTAGGGAGAAAAAGGGCCAGGTAAGACAAGGTGAACCAAGAATATCTTGTTTCCTAAAAAAAAGTTGCTCAAAGACTGATGAGGACTCCTGGCCAAATTCAGAACAATTTTGAGTATCAAAATACATAGCTAAATGGACTACAAAACTAAATAAAAACATGAGTCTATAGTAATGTTTAATGAAAAAACAAAAACAGCCTTGCATTTGTGAGTCAGAAACGTTTTCCCAGAGCTAGCAGCAAGCGCCAATCAGGGAAAGGAGAGTTTCAAACACCCAGGTAAGGTAGCCCTTCTGAAAACTCCAAATGCAACAGAAGTCCTCTTCTGTGACACAAAACACATTTTAAATTAAAAGAGACATATCTGGCCGGGCGCGGTGGCTCACGCCTGTAATCCTAGCTCTCTGGGAGGCCGAGGCGGGCGATTGCTCAAGGTCAGGAGTTCAAAACCAGCCTGAGCAAGAGCGAGACCCCGTCTCTACTATAAATAGAAAGAAATTAATTGGCCAACTGATATATATATGTAAAAAATTAGCCGGGCATGGTAGCACATGCCTGTAGTCCCAGCTACTTGGGAGGCTGAGGCAGGAGGATCGCTTGAGCCCAGGAGTTTGAGGTTGCTGTGAGCTAGGCTGACGCCATGGCACTCACTCTAGCCTGGACAACAAAGTGAGACTCTGTCTCAAAAAAAAAAAAAAAAAAAGAGACATATCTGTCTGACCACCTTTTAATAGAAAATCAGAGTCTTGTCTTTGTGCGTAAGTCTACTAGCTCATTCCTAGTCACCATTCCAGCAGGCACCACCCACTGACTATTTCCACCATGAGTATCTTTAAAATGAAACAAGAATTGAAGGACACTTTGTAAGCAATCTCAGAACAGAATTCTAGACCTTTAAGATTTTTTCTCCAGGCCGGGTGTGGTGGCTCACACATGTAATCCTAATACTCTGGGAGGCCAAGGAGGGAGAATTGTTTGAGGTCAGGAGTTTGAGACCAGCCTCAGCAAGAATGAGACCCCCATCTCTACTAAAAATAGAAAGAAATTAGCCAGGCAACTAAAAATAGAAAAAATTAGCTGGGCACATGCCTGTAGTCCCAGTTACTCAGGAGGCTGAGGCAGAAAGATTGCTTGAGCCCAGGAGTATGAGGTTGCTGTGAGGTAGGCTGATACCATAGCACTCTAGCCCAGACAAATGAGCAAGACTCTGTCTCAAACAAACAAACAAATAAAAAAGAAAAAGACTTTTTCTCCAATTGTACAGTTTTCTTCCATCTATCTACAAAAGTCAATTTTTAGCATCTCACTTTTATCCAAATTATCTGTAGTAAGCAAAACCCTAAGATGATACCCCCCCACAAGATTCTGGCCCCCGGGTATACATACACATCTCCCTGAGTATGGAGAGGACCTATAGATAGAACAGGATATCACACCTGTGATGAGGTTTTATTCTATGACAAAGGTGAAAGGATTCTGCACATTTAATTAAGGTTCCAAGTCAGTTGCTTTCTAGCTAATCAAAAAGAAGATTAAGGTGAGTGTGGTGGCACCTGCCTATAGTCCCAGCTACTGGAGAGGCTGACGTGGGAGGACTGCTTAAGCTCAAGAATTCAAGTTCAGCCTGGGAAACATAGCGAGATAGTCTTTTAGGAAAAAAAAAAAAAAGAAAGAAAGATTATTCTGGGGGCCTACTGAATCAGGTGAAAGCCCTGTAAAGAGGGGCTGGGCCATTCTGAAGAGATGCTGTCCCATAGGTCTTGAAGAAACAAGCAATTGGTTTGTGAACTATCTACGGAGAGGGGCAACCTCTAAGAATACAGGGCTTTAGTCTCACAATGAACTGCAATGAACTCAATTCTGCCAACAGGACCAAGCTCCAGATGAGACAGTGGCTTGGCCAACACCTTGACTGCAGCCTTGTGATACAGAGGACTTAGCTAAGCCCCAGCCAGACTCCCAACTCACAGAAACTGTAAAAGTGTAAATGTGTGCTGTTTTTAAGTTGCTAAATTTGTGGTTAGTGTCTTGTTTCACAGCAATAGAAAATTAAGCATCCTACTTAAGTTTTTATAGAAGCAACAACTTTCCCTCAGCACTCCTATTTCATCTGTCACATCACCACCAAGACAACTCCCATAAACACACTTGGACCAAAACATAAGACTCTTGGCAAAAGTACCAGCTAGTAGGAGGAGAGGTAAACTCCTTCTTAAAAAGTGAGCTGTGAGCATTTGGGGCCCTGAGGTTTAACACGGGAGTGGAAAGGCTTGGTTCACCTGCTTTTTGGCTAAGAGGAGGGCAGCTAAGACCTACCACAGAGGTGCAGTCCAGTCCCCTACAGTGCACACAAGGCCGACATCAGCCCCAGGTGTGCCGAGCTCCAGCAGTTACATACCATCTTTAGGCACTGGAGGGAATAGGTCATTTGACATGCACCTTTAAGTAATAATTCAGTATCAATGCAAAGGATGGAGACAAAGGACAGAAGTAGAAACAGAAAAAAATGAATTAGGACAACATTATCAAGAGTCCAGAAACAAGGGATGAGAGTAAGCCAAGACAGAGAAAGTGGCTTATTTAAGACTATTTCAGATCAAATGGGTTGGATCAAATGTGAAAGGGAACAAAAGGAAGCAGGGAACAGAAGAGGAATGAGAATTAGGTCAATTTTAACTACAGGTGTGCACTAACTGCTGAACATAAACGTGAAGCGCATCCCCATCCCACCCACCCACAGTAAATATAAACCCAGACCTTAGCAGAGTGTTCAGGGCTAGAGACTCAAATCTGGGCATAGTCTGCAAATGGACTGGAGGTGATGGACTGGAGGTGATGGCCCGGAGATGATGCCAACACCCAAGGAGAGAGGGAAGACCACTGTCCTCAGCCCCAACTACACTCTGAGATTACCCCAGACTGGCTGGGCTCTGCAAATCAGTGCTCTAGGGTACAGCCTAGGTTGAGAAACACTGGTGTTTAGAGGAGCCATTAAAAAAACTAAGCCAGGGAGTAAGTGCCTTTTACATGGAAACAAGAACAATTACTATAGCCTATTCTTCCATCACCTGGGTAGTGTTGAGAGGTAAGAGGATGTGAGCAGAAGTGTGTGGGTGACCAGGAATTCCTTTTTGGAAAGTGGAGACTGGACTTCTGGAGGGACACATACTATAGACACTTCCTAGGAACTGATGTCCCAAAGATGGAAACAAGGTGTGGATTCAAGTAAGCACCATTCAGAGGACAACAGCTCGGGCATCTTAAAGGATTCAGAGGACCCAGGAACATTGCTAAGGCAATAAAGCAAGCATCACTGGAGAAGGGCTTGCATGAGCCAGACCAAGGCAAGCAGAAATGAAACCTGGGAGGAGAGCACTCCAGGGGTACACGGAGGGAAGTATAGGATTGAGGTGGAAGCATCCTGGGAACAACTGGAAAACAACCACAAATCTGATGAAAACACGGACTGCGAAGGAAATAAAATCACTTCAATTTGTAAACTGAAGAGTATTTGGACAACTGTCTCGAATTAGCTTGTCTTCATTAGTAGCTGACTTACATAAAAGTTCCCAGTGGACAATAATAATAGGTTTTTCAATTTTCTTTGACTTTTTGGTATAGATCCCAGATGCTGCTAATTTAGTTGGGTAGGACCCTTTTCCAACTTGCTCTCACATTACTCACACCTCTGAAGTGACACAGCAAGTAAAGGTACTTTCATCATCAAAAGAACCCAGTAAAAGGGGAAGTACTGGGCCAATCTATGTAAGTCAGTAAACTGGAAATAAGAGCTTCAGTTACTTGACCAAAAACCACACAACACTGAGGCTCTTAGAGGTGGGATCTGGAAAGAGGCCTATTCAGGCTTGTTCTCTTCCCACCCACACCACAACTGCACCCCACCTGCAGCGTGGTGGCCTGGGGAGCCATGAAGCCCCCCCCCAACAGGTCCCACCAACACCTTAACACTAAAGAGTATTAGGCAAGCAGACCCTAAGGCATTTATTAAAATGACTACCTCACAACTGTAGAGTT